CCCAATGAAACTTCAATACTTTTTTGCAGGTATTCTCCCTCAAAATAGCTTATAATCCTCACAGCTTGACTTGAAATTATTACCAAAAGAATTACCACATTTTTCTGAATAGGATAGGCGATAAAGTGACTGAAAATATCCTATGGGCCAAATCGGCTTCTTATGCACCCCTGTCCTTTGTTACATATTCAATCTGAACTCCTTTATATTCAATTTCAGGTTTTGGGATCTTTACCGCGTTACGAACTAACATTGCTTTTGTTTTTGCAACGTTTACCGGAAGAATATAATTACCGAGAATTTTTCTAGAATATTCAGAACTGTTCGAGCTTGAGCTTGAAGGCATTTTATATTATTCAGATAGGCATTTTTCTAAATCACTTTTTATAATAAGTGTTAAATCATCTGCAAAAAGATGGCTTACTATCTGAGGAAAGTGGAGGGGCAAAAAGTGCACATGCAATCTAAATAAAAGAGTAGCAAGAACACTTCCTTGTGGCGCTCCTATTAAAATAGGAAATAATCTGAACTTTGGGTCGCCATGAGATACTCTCATCCGCCTATTTTGAAGGCAATTCAAAATCCACTTCCTCAATTCAATAGGCATTTCTAGTTTTTCTAAAGTATGGAACAATGCTGGCCACCATACACGGTCAAAAGCTGTTGAAAAATCTATAAAAAGGGCTAGGGCTGCTCTATTAGGTGGAGCAATAGTTAACCTCAAGTCTTCTACTATTCCTAAAATACGAGATTGCAACCGTTTTTTAGCAGTAAAGCCTGATTGTTCATCTAAGTAAATATCTTGCTCATTGCATCTTTTTTCAATTCTGGCTACTAAGACTCTTTCGAAAACTTTACCAAGATTGGGAAGAAGAGAGATCGATCGAAGGCGATCTACAGTTGGGAACACACCCTCTTTAGAAAGAAAAATACCTTTTGAAATTTTAGCACCTTCAAAAAATTTGCCATCAGCCGCGCATTTGTTGAAGAGAACTGTAATTGTACCTAAGTACTGAGATGGAACTTAGTTGAGTAAAAACGCAGAGTTTTCTACGCTATCCAATGACTTTTTGGGAGCAAATTTCTTCCACTGCAAAATAACTTCCTCAATCTTTATCTGCTCTATGGGAAGATTTGGAGAATGTTTAATATTTTCATACACTGATAAACATTTCAAATGAAAATAATTCTTATTATCAGGTGTTGGTTCAGCAAAGTGTTTCTCATAGAAATTTGCTAATTGATCTGCAGTTTCTTGATTATTTTTCACTACATCATTGGGTGTTTTAAGTCGTCTGAACGCTGGCGAATATGGTTTAAAAACTTGACGTACATGAAACCAAATATTTTGACCATCTTTCATTTTTTTGAAGTTTCTTTTCTCTCTTTTCTTGTTCAAACTTAAGTTTTTCTTGTTTGTATATATTTCCCAATATTTAAAAGTTTTATAATCTTCGAAAAATCTAGTTTTTCTAAATCTTCTTCTAAATTTGTTTACTGTTCTAACTAATTCTACTAGATGAGATGGCCAAGGTGATCTACAATTTTTAATTTGTTCAGAAGTAGTACATCTATCACTCAAGGCTGCTAGAAAGTGAGAAAAAATGTCAAAGAAAGTGTTATAATCTATTTCGTAAACAATTGCATTCCAAAAGCAATGTACTACTTCAAGATAAGACGTGAAAAGTTTCCAGTTTGTTTTCCTAAAGACACCACTTTCCGTAGCAGGAAATAGTGATAAAAACAATACAGGATAATGGTCAGAGTTACCCTCAAGGAGTCTCACAATCCCCCAATTCTCTTTACTTCTTCCTATTCCGAAATCAATTACAGAGTTCGATCTTTTTGAGATTGGATGACAAGAATGTAAGGTTTCAAAACCATTATCAACTAACCATTCTTTTAATTTATTTCCTGAAACGTCATTACACTCACAATTCCAGTCCTGATGTTTTGCATTAAAGTCACCAAATATAAACATTTCCTTCTCCTTATATTTATCGAATATTTCAAATGGTGGCATACTTCCGGATGGTACGTAAATATTTGCAATGAGAATTTTTTCATCCATAATTTCTATCTGAATCAAGACAAAGTTAACTGTTTCTTCGATTAGCGAAGTTCTCGGTTTTTGATGAACTAAAATTCCAACACCACCGAAACTAATCGTTCATTTCGTACTATACTATTTAAAATTAGAAACATGCGGAAGCTTATTTATCTGTTTTCCTACTCCACTTAGTAAAAATATGTGTGGTGAATGATAAGCGAGTAAATGATCAAAATCTGACATATGGGTAGATAAACATTCACAATTCCACACTAATACTGTAAGATGTTCAAAGGAAGTCTTAGGTCTAACTTTAACCCATTGCTCGAATAAATCACTCAGATGAACAGTGGAATTCCATTCATAAAAAATAGAAAAAAGGGTATCTTTCTCAATGTCAGTTCCATTAAAATGATTAATGATCTCAGGATTAACATAAATCATACGTTTTCTAATTTCTTCATTATCCATTTATGAGTTGAAGCATATTGTCCATAGCTGTTGCCATAGTTTCATTTTGTTTGTCAGAAATCATTTTTAATTCTTCTTGATGACGATCAAATTCTTTATACCCTTCATTTATGCAGGATATTTGATTATTTATTAATTCAATCACATCATCAAGTTCAATATTTCTTACACGTGTTTTTAATTTTGTGATAACTAATTGTAAATTCTCTAGTAATTTGCTACATACAGGAACAAGAACTTGATTTAATACTTTACTCATAGAAGAAATTGTTGTTTCTTGTGTTTGTTGTACTTGTTTAACCAAAAGCAAAACTTGATTCGTTGATTGAACAATATTTTTATATTTTTCTTCAATTTATTTTTGTGAAATCTCAAATGTCTTCTTTTCTTCTTTCAATTCTTCTGATAAGTTTTTAATTGCCATGCAAATGTCGGTTGAAACAGCAGATGTTGATGTTGAAGAATTATTTGTTTTCAATAAAGGCCATCCAATTTCATCAATTTTATTGTAATGTTGTTGTTGCTGTATACGGTGATATTGATGGTAAGCTTTTTCATTATAAATCATCTTTTTACGATCATCAGAGCGAGGGTGTGGGTGTGGGTGTGGGTGTGTGGGTGTGGGTGTGGGTGTGGGTGTGGGTGTGGGTGTGGGTGTGTGTATAAGTTACCACGATAACCTAATTTTAGATTATTTCGATGTTACTGATTCTCAATCTTATCAAGTGGCCTTAGTACTAGTATATAAGATCTAAACTNCTCACTGATTGCATCAACATATATTGTCTCGGTTCATAAATACAAGATCGATCTACATTATGAGCCATTTTGAAAATGTTATACAAATGAAAACATTAAGCCATAGTGCTTGGTAGTTTAATTTTCAATCAGTCAACGTTTTTATAGAGACACAATGGTTTTTCGAAACTATCCAATTGAATTTCAAGAAAAAGTTTTCCACACCAACCTTGGCTCTTACAGAAAAATTAACTTGTCATATAAGTACACTGGGAAATCTTCCGATTTTCTTGAAGAGTTTTTATACAAAGTAATTGTTAATAGAACATATATTTTAAGGGTAAGAAAATATCGACCATTTTTTTTTGAAAATTGCGGCAGTTACCAAACACCAGTTGAATATGGCAGAAAACACTGTTTTAACTGTGAGAAATATTTATTATTTGATACTATGAAACCAACTAGTGGTTAATTTTTGTTTAATACAGAAGCGACGAAACTTTTACTCTTCTGAATAAGATTACTATAAAACCATCTAACAGTAGTTAAGACGAACTCAATATGATAAGCATTCGATTTCTGTATGTCAAACGAAAAATCTCTTCAATTATTAGTCAGATACAATTTAAACATTTAATGAAGGATGCGTTTAGTAATTGTATACTGAATCTAAACCCTTTTTTGACTATTGGAATTGGACAATACATTCACTAACTGAGCTATCCATAGGCGACAAAACTGTTGTTTTGAGAACCTACTCTCACTTACTCCATAAAAACGTCGATACTCCAATACTATTCTAACAATGCGATGTATACACTAGGTATGGATGAGTTTGAAGAGAAAAGCCTTGATATCACTTATTTCACCAATGTCTACGCCCTTATACATCTAGCAATCCTTCCCAACGTGATGATCTGTTGCATTGGGAACCTTGTTGCACGTTTTGATAAACGTTGCATGAGTTCTAAATTCAGTAGACACGATTTCATCATGTTTCGCGTATACTAACCACGTGAACAGTACAATAAACACTTACTTTTATACTTTAGAAATTTCTCTCAACGAAACATTTTCGATGAAAAAATATGTTTGTTTACTTTTATTTATTATTAATAAATCCTTGACTGTCTTTCTATGACGCTACTGTATGAATAAGCCTTGATAATAATAGACCTTTGTTCTGGTATATCTGCTTTGTTCTATGGCAAAGATTTATTGATCCCCGGCTAAGTTAAAATATGTCTCAAATGAAAATATTTAGGTTCCTTGTGTCAGTGGAAGCGATTTAAAATGATCGATCACGAAAACAAGCAAATAAAGCCCATCTACGACAAACAGTCCTCATCCAAACTAACATTCAAGATGACTGCCAAGTATATACAAAAACATACTCAAAGTAGGAATATTCTCCTACAACAGGCTAGTCAACACTATGATGACAGATCAGAAGAGATGACTGCTGCAAAGTTATATACATTAGAATGTGGTACACAACCTTTGTGTGAATTACTTAATGAAGCACTTAAATCTGGTCGTCAAGACGAAGTAGAGCCTTGGCTTCCTTATCTCCATTTATTTCTTGCTGAAGTTGAACGCTTACCTTTATATAAGGGAGAATGTTGGCGTGGTACCAATATTGCTATAGGGGAAAAATTCAAAAGCGGTCAAACTGTCGCCTGGCAAGGAATTAGTTCATGCTCCAAATCTCAGGATTTCATCCTTGAAAATTGTGTTGGCAAAAGCGGAACTCTTATCAAGATTGATGCTATCAATAGCAAAGACATGTTGAATATCACACGTGATCCTATCATACGAGAAGTTATTTTAATGCCTGGAACTACCCTAATTGTAAAAAGAGTTAAACGGTGTGTACATAACACTAATATTACTCTTGTGGAGTTAGAAGAAACAGTTGACAAAACGCATGACGAAGTCGCACAACTTGCTGCGAAACCACAAGCTTCATCATCCATCAATCATCATAGTAAGTACTAATTTAAAAGTCGAATAATTGTTATTGATACTTCCCACTTTTTTTCTCTGATAAATTGAAAAGTTGATCTTCAGAAAAAAATTATCTAAAACTCGAATATATGAACATAGTATTAGCAAACTAAAACAAAACGCTGTATAACTCTACGAACGATAAAAGCTATGGGAAACTCCAATTACATTGCAATGGTTTTATGCAGAAATCAAATTCTGTTAAAGATTCGATACATAAAATGGCCCATGAAATCAATTTACTTATTATGATTGTTCTTTATTCATTGAATCGAATGTCACATTGTTAAGATCTTTTACATTCAATTATAGGCGCATCTTCATCGAAAACAAATCATGGTGATTCTCAAACTACAGCACACGCAAATTCTGGTACGTGGAAACTTTTGTCGAAATACTAATAAAGTTAGAATTTTTTTGTCTGAATACATAAAGATTGCTTTGTTTCGAACTTGTCATCAATTTAGGATACGAACAAAAAAAGTGAGAAATTTGCAGAATAACTATACAGAAAAGCATCGTACCCGGAAACGAAATCGATTATTGATCATAGCAGTTATTTTTACAAATCTCTATTGAGAATGCGTGAATTCAATCATTTCTATATTCATCCTAACAAGAGCAGGCAGGGAAAGCTGTATCTGAATGTTCACGTTTTTGCTTTGCTGAAAAATCGTTCTCAATAATTGAAACGATGGATCAGAATCCAAATTGTATACTTGTTTCGAAGACAATATCAGAAATATTTGCTTAGAAAAGCTATTTCTTTCTGAAAGACTTGACCAAAAAATTGTCTGAATCAATCATAGCCATTCTTCTCAATTCAAAATCCTTTCGCTTCGAAAGACTAAAATTCGGGTACGTTATCTGGCGACAAGAAACCTATGAAATTATAGGTTTTATAAAAACAAGTCATATTCTCAGTAATGGTATATGAGCAAAGTGTTCAATATTCTAGAATTAAATCTGAGAGAAAATTATTGATCATATATTTACCAAGAGTACAGAACACTATTTTCTGATTATCCTTTAGTTTTTGGAATTTCTTTTTTTATGAATAAAAACATTTGACAAATATTTTGTATAAAAGGTATTGGTTTATTCAGTAATAGAAGAAGAGCTTTATTTGTTCGAGTTCACAGTATTCATATTTATAATTACATAACCACGTGGTTGTCAAAACTATGTTACTTCTCACAACTTCCAGTGACATTTAATACCTCTACATACATTTCTATAAAATGTTGCCTCACCTAACGCTATAATTTCTATGAGATTGACTAATACGTACGTAGTACGATAGTGTTATTTCTTATTGAAAATAAATTATGTAATATGAAAATAAAAATTATCATAGATCAACGCTACGGTTTGATACATCGGTTCACCGATGTCGACGGTGAAAGCAGAGCATTAAAACCTATCCAAGGCTATCGAAATAGTCGTAATATAACACTGGAAGAAGCTCTCAAGCCGATGAGAGACGCTATTCCTCATTTGGATGATTACATAAAACAAGCCAAAAGACATTCCAATATCAGCTCTTCAAATACCCTCTCAATTGATGAATCGGCAGCTATATATTTGTACACAATGCAGCTAAATGATAGAAGTTTCAGTCGTATGCTTAATCAAGCATTAAGATATGAAGACCAAACTGAAGTCAAGAATTATTGGTTCAATTACCTCGAATTAATTTGGTCGGCACTGAACAAATTACCTTCTTTCAGAGGAGATGTCTATCAAGGTATCACTAGAAGTATTAAAGAAAACTATCCAAAGAAAAAAATAATTACTTGGTGGGGTATCACGTCGTGTACACAAACACCAGACAATATAGTTTCTTCGTTGTTGGGTAAAAATTCTACTCTACTAAAAATAAAAATTCTCAATGGTAAAGATATATCGGCATATTCCTATAATCGTAATGAAATCGAGATCATCTTGTTACCTGGCACTCGCCTACGTGTCAATGATGTGTTATACAATTCTAGTCTTCGCATCGATGAAATCAATTTGGAAGAAATAAATGATGAAATGCTTCAATCAAATACCACTTCAAATCAAAATATAAAACGCATATCAAACGATGGATTTTCCGGTAAGTAATTATAAGATTTTTAGCCGCATACAATTATTTGACTATCATTTGAAACCAATAACTAATTTCGTCAATAGAAAGAGTCTTGTAAAGTTCTTGAATAAATTACAATAAAATAAATTCATCTAAAGGATGAGGACGCACAAGACCTGATTCTGGACTAGTTCATTTTTTCTAAATAATGGTAGAAGAAATATATATGTTTGTGTTACTTGAACTGGTGAGTCAAATGAGGTTGCGTGATGCTAAATATAATATTCACGCTCACATCCATACTCTATGATTTTGTCGAAATTCTCAAGTAGTATGAATATCTGTAAGATAACACTTTTCGGCAAAATCTCTATATCGTTAGAGTCACTAGCTCAAAAGCTATAAAACGATATAAATTTTGTAACATTATATAGGAAAAATTAAATGACATAAAATACAGGCTTATGTTATTCCAATCTTTTTTTTGTATTTTCAAAATTGTTTCTAGGTTTTGGATTGGCAAAGTCATCGCATCAATCATGCAAATTCAAAACGGGTGAGATATGCTTTGCAATCCATAGAACATCTCAAATTTAGAATCCTTTTTTTGACTTGTGTCAAAAACGAATTTAATCTATCTAAGATAATTTAAACGTATCTAATTTCGCCGTATGCTCTTTACTCCAAAAATCGTTTTTTTCTTCCAGTTGTGATATGACTCTGAAGTTTCGTATGTCGAATATCACCTCAAAAATTAATCCTCGTTGTTCTTCATCATTTTTTTTGAACTTGACAATGAACACTGCTAGTGAAACAGTTCCGAAATAGTTATGCAATTGTAGTTTGGATTTCATACAAGTTGAAGCTCTAATAAGATCAACAAATATTTTTGAGAATAGTCTTCTTATTTTAACATTCGTCTTTCTATCAAACAAGAGAAAAGGAAATCGAGATAGTTTATAATGTCTTCAAACAAAAAAGTATCATTTTTAGGTCTTACCGCTTCTGTTTCGGATTCAGGGTGTGGGTGAACTTTGTTAAAATCGATTGCAAAATTTTATCATTCAACGAAACATAATCAAATTGATCAAAACAAAATATCTCTGGTGAAGAATTTCGACTCTGCATCTGAATTACCTTTCAGATCAAATAGAACAGAAATGAGTCCATTCAATGAAACTAAGCTGTTTCTGATTCCCACGAATTTTGTATATTTCATCAAGTCAGTTTTTTTTTCCAAAGAAATTCAAGTGAATTGCAAATCAAAAGAGTTTGAGAATCTCTTTTGTATAGTTTTCTTTGTCAACACTATTGATCCGACAAGTTCATACGCTTTTTAAATAAATTTGTCGGAAAATATTTCAGTGATACCTTTGAGAGATCCCGTAACGAAGAATTTGAATGTCTTTGCAGGAAACACACTTGCCCAAACATGAGCAGAGAGCCATGTCTTTCTTTCTTAGATCCTCCGGAGTGAATCTTGTTTGAATAATCAGAAAAATTCAATTAAAAAACAATCGAGCACTTGTATTAAGAAATATTTTGAGGAGTCAGTTATTAACAAGGATTCAATTTTGCGTGAAAAATGATAAATAGAAAACTTCTGGCATAGGAATAGATAGTTGTTTTCGAGTAATCTGAATAATAAAGAAATATAGAGAGAAGAATGAGAAAGAAATATAATGCTTTTCAACATTGAAGAATCTTCTTTTGTATCCACATTTTATTTTGAATAAATCGTATTTCACATCAATTTTGTTTCAACATTGTAATGAACTTAGTTTAAATGCAATGAGAGATTCACTATGCATGTTCAACATTTATGTCCTATTATATGTCATGATACATTTAGTTTATATTTGCTTCTCAATCTCAAACGATTTTAAAAATACCTTGGAAATTTGAATCAAATATTTAGATGCAAATTGTAGATCTTGATTTCAAATGCAATTTTTTTTGGAAGGTCACTGCTCCGAATGTTGAGTAATATTTTTTTAGTTATTTTTCGTAATCATCCGAACTCTTTGGTTGTTTTGACATTCTATTCAATGGAATATTCAAGAATATTATACGATTGATATTTATTTCTATATAGATAAAATCTGGCTGGAATGTCGATTCAAAGATCCAGAAGGTACAACCATTATCAAACCCAACGAATGTGAACGAAACCTTACTGAACCTCCGGGAAGCATTGATGGACTCATTTTAAATCGTATTAAGGGTTCAATGTTTGGTTTAATTTTGGGAGATGCTTTGGGTGCTCATGTCGAATTCAGACCTCATAGCTATTTACTTGCTAACCCAGTTCGTGATCTAGAATGTGGAGGAACGTGGGGTCTCGAGAAAGGACAGGTAAAACTGTTTGAAGAATATTTTATCAATCAGATGTTCGAAAGTTGTTTAGTTTGTATTCTTCTTAAATTATTTTAGCTATCTGCTTTTAACTTCTTTGTTGATTTCTTGTAGTATGACAAGTTTGATGACACATAGCTTTTGATGTTCAATAGTCTAAATTATGTATTTTTTTCATTCGTGAGTTGTTTTATTTGTAGGTGGTGGATACTGAAAAAAATACTATATGTTTCCCGAACCACGAGCTGCTAGTTCTCATTTTTCGTGTAGACAAATCATACTAGAAGATTCATCATAAAACTTGTCTTTATTCCCGTTTTTTTCTGTAGAAACTAACCGATCGATCTCAAAAAGAAGTATCGTATTAAAATATCGATAAAAATGATTTCTATAGAGATCTATATTCAGTTTCAATTAGTGATGTACGAGTAAAATGTATCACTTTTTGATCTAAGAAATACTTTTGGCAGTATGTTTTACATTCATTAGTGATACCGCACAACTTTTTTGAAGTAAGAAATATTTTTAAAGACGAATAATAACGATTTTTCATGTAAACACACAATAGTCATTCGTGGGAAAGGCGATTCATAAAAAATTAAATCTGTGTTCTTTCTTTTTTTTTGAAAAGCGTTAGAAAAATACATTTGAGCTTCACTACTTTTCTGTATTGAACTTTATGTCTTGAGATTATTCCTGTGTGTGGTAACATCGAAAATCAATAGCCAATAAATTTCTTTAATTGTATTGAAAATATGATGAAAATTTGAAATTAAATATAGACAGTAAGAATGGGTGGTGACGTGGATGGATCTACGCTGTAACCTTTCACTTTAACTTGCCCATCTTCTGACTCGCATCCTGAGTATCCGTTACGGTCTATGACCCTAGAATACTTTGTACATTCTGTACCTGCCTGTCAAGTGAAGAGTAGTATCACTTCTATCAGTATGCATTCCAAGGCTCATTTGTTAATATGTCTCACAAAACTAATCGAGAGGTTATTTCATCGAAGTAAACAGTAACACGATCGAGTGTGTATTATATGCTTCACCAATAGGAAAACATCTGAATTTTCAGTTTCTCGATGGGTTGGAATCTATTGCATCAGTTCAATGATACTACACGAGTAGCTGGAAAATTGATGTGGAAAAAATAAATCCATTAATGTTTAGCAGTGTTGGGATGATTTTTTATGTTTTGTTTAGTTCACAGATGACGGATCGATGACTATTTGCTTAGCTAATTCATTAATAGCTCGTCGTCGTTTTGTACCTTATGATCAATTGGTTCGCTATAAATGGTGGTTTAGACATGGTTACATGTCATCGACGGGAACTTGCTTTGATATTGGTAAAAGTACTAAAAAAGCACTTTGTGAGTTTGAAAATCGACAAAAAGAATTCGCTCAAAAACATGGTATTCCATTAGACGAAATCGATCTACTATCAGATAAGCAGCTTCTTGAAAAATTCCCTGTCTATTGCAGTCTAGATGGGGCAGCTGGTAATGGTGTACTTATGCGTTTGGCACCTGTACCTCTATTTTTCTACCAAAATCCACAAGCTGCAGTTAATCTCTCTGGAATCAGTGGCCGAATCACTCACGGAGATAAGAAAGCCTATGATGCATGTCGTTATTATGGAGCTCTCATTGTAGCTACTATGCACAATACAGACAAAGATCAACTTCTCAGTGAAGAATTTTATTTATGCAAGATAAAAAAATGGTTCACAAACGATCCTTTAGAACCTGAAATTGAAAACGTTGCCAAAGGGTCATTCAAGAAAGAAAAAGGGTATGCTGCTGGGATACGCGGTATAGGTTACGTTGTTAATTCTCTTGAGGCTGCATTATGGGCTTTTTGGTCTACTCAATCGTTTGAGGAAGGTGTTCTAGCAGCAGTAAATCTTGGTGATGATACCGATACAACAGCAGCTATTTATGGTCAACTGGCTGGTGCATACTACGGTTATGATAAATTACCACAAGGATGGATCAATTCTGTCTATTCCAAGCGCTTTATCGAATGCTTATGTAAATGGATTGCATACGAAGGAAATCAATCATGCTCCAATAACTAATATAAATACTAAACATTTTGAATTGAAGAAACAAATACCTATTGACTAGTATATATCATTTCATTTATTATCGATTCTAAAACACTTATCATATAAAAAATCTTTTCTAGCGCGTAATTTGCAGTATTATCACTAAAACTATTATCACAGACTATTCATTCGAAAGATTTAGAGCAAGATGTACATTTCTGATATTTCTATTTTAAAAGAATTCTATTATATCTTGTTCTCAAAATTCTGCACCACAGGATTCTCGTACTAAACAACTCAGGAGGGTCTGAATGTGAACGATTCAGATATTTTAGTAAAAGAACTTCATTATGAAATTAAAGAGAATAATGGGAAGATTTGACTTCAACTGCTATCATTTTTCAACATGACATTGCTTCAGTACATGTATCATATCTTGTTGTGCCGAAGCTGACTTACAGTGATTATTTCTTATTCCTAGCTTTAAAAGATTATATATCAAAGGAAAGCACTATAATGATCGAAGTTCATTAGGTTTGACGATGCATATGCGTCTGACATCCATCTGTCTGAAGATGACTTTACAACAGCTATAAAAAAGAGTCGAGAACGTTGGCAAAAGCGTGCTTCAGCAGAGGGACACAATTTCGAAAAAGAGAGCATATATTTATAATTGTAATACGTTTTGTTGTTTTTAAATAAAATCAATTCGAGAACTTGTGAACGCCTTAAATATCGATCACTAGAGCAGGTACGACATATTCAGCATGCTATCAGATAGATGATTCGAGATAAACAGCGATTCATCACTTGTCTAGAATCATTTCATGACTAATGATACTGAAGTTTGAACACAGTACCATGTGAATACGTGTGTCGAGCAGCGTAGCCATTTAGTCATGGCGAGTCTCTAATATACAACATAAATCTTTAAAAATATAAAGAGAAATAGTTCAAAGTTGCAAAACAAAAACGAAAAAAATATTTAGACAGAAAATGTTATAATACGCTGAATCAGAGAAGAAGATATTTAACCACCGTTGTACAACACATTAACTTTTTTCAATCATTCGGAATTTACCATTTTTTTATTGGCTAATTGTCATAACATAGAACAGTTTTTTTTTTCATTTTATTGTAAGGCATTTCAGTAACTAAGAAAGAACGCGTTAAACACTCTTCGATGTGCGGAATATTGTTTCCCTATATAGTTGCTATTTTGGGTCTGAACGAATCGATTTATATTGGCAAATCTCTTATACTTTTTTTTAGCTTACTTAAATGTCTCATTTACAAACAATGTGCCTTTGGAGATCAGATCATTTTCCTTGAGCATCAAGTAGGATGTGGGTAGCTAAAAAAAAACACTCACACGCTACACTATATAATCTGTTGAAATTTTTGTCACTTTGATGGCATACCTTTTACATCCATTAGACTCGTCGACTCATAAGTAAAATTAAGTGTTTTCCAAGTATTTGTTTTGTTTTTCATATGTTGCTGCAATTCTTTGTAATTTAACTCAACCCTAATTATGAAGCTCAAAAAATGAGACCAATTTTCTTACATGCATGCACTTGTTTTCTTTCTTGTCGAAACATGTAAAAATCGAAAACGTTAACAGAGTTTGTATCGAGATGTAAACAAGTTAATGTATAAATGATTTCTTTTCTAATAAGAAAATCAAAATATTCGCCAATAAAGTTTACTAAGTTGAGAAAAATTACAACACTTATTCAGAAGATCATTGAAATATATCTCATTTAATAAATTCTTTTTATTTAGTTCAACATGTAACTGTTTTTGAACGGGATCTTATTCAAATAGTCAAACAATTGAAACGATTGCTTTTTCTGGATATTTATGTTCCAATCAATTATGAGATAGTTGAGCCTTATCGCTTAACGATACAAAAACATATTTGTAATAGTCATTTTCCTATTGACGCATCAACATTTTGTCCATAGATATAATTCTCTATTTGTTGTTTTAAAACAATCGTATATTAAATATACAAACCTTCAGAAACAAATTGTTGTCATTTTTTGTTTTTGTGTTAAAATTAAATCTATAATAAAAAACGAAAATCTGCTACATTATTGCTTTTCTAAATACAATTTTAACTTTTTGAGGACGAAATTACTTTTAAAAACAAGTGAAATTTTTTGAAACTCTCAAATAATATATTCTTTGTCCATAGGATGAATGAGAACACCATATATAGATATTACACTGGTAATAACAGATCTATGGTCTGCACTAACATGTAAGTTGATATATGAAATTCGATTATTAATTGAATCAAAGCCGAATGTAGGTATGGTTCAAGAGACAACCCACATCCTCAACGAAGGGTGTCCATTGCCAAGTTTACTAATTGAACATTAACTATAATAGCTTTATTGACTCCGTGAAGGTGATAAAATGTCCAATTTTACTTTTGAAAAGAACTATTGAACTTCTTTCCAGACTGTAGAGTGCTCTGAGTATCTCTTTCCACCTCTCATGTCATCTATCGTTTGAATAGTCTAGAAACCTGAAAAGTGCATAAATACAAATAAGCTAATTGGAAGACTCTGTACTGTTGCATTAGTCGACGAGAGGCTTCATTTTTATTCCTTTCTAGACTGGATCATTATCGATTTATTTCATTTCGTGTATTCTCTTGGATGCTCATTCTATCATGTTTATGATAATCGAGGCATGTCGCAAGTTCCTTATTCTTCTTTAGCATTTGTCCAGCGACTAGGTTATTTTTTCTCGCACGCAGTTCAATCATTGACCAATCTACTACTTTCTGTTTAATGTTGCACGTACATGCTTAAGTGATCGACATGACAAATAATCTGACGCTAACGAATGACTGTGATAAGAAGCTCGTAGCTACTGAAATGGAAAATAAAAGTTCGATCCCTATTTATATAAGAAAAGAATTTTTCCATTGCTGATAACATTTTTGTGGCTTCGACCAATGTTGTCTGAAAATATCACTAAAGACTCAATGGGTGACATGAGAAAAGAAGATTTGAAGAAAAGTCATAGCCACATGATCTTATTGAAGGCGAAGCATATTATGCACTTGTTAGAAAACTCAAGTTAAATGAGTCATTCTCTCGACAAATTTGATGTCATGATTTTAATAAGATAAAAGCAGAAAATAGGAAGAACTAAGTGAAAATGTTGTTTCACACTATTCTCGTTATGAAATACTCAAGATAATGTATTTTTCTGATGGAGTTCCTCCTGTTCGAAAAAGCCAAAATAAACAACAGTATCCGATCGAATCATGCTCACTCCTTGCACGCAGACATGGACCAAACCCAAACTGTTTGAGCTCGATACTATCGGGTTCGACTCGGTCTCTAGACTCGAGTCCGAAGTTCAATTGAGTTCGAAGTCGAACATACATACTTGAATTCGATCGAGCTCTGTGATGAAAGAATGAAGAGCTAGTTTTCTATAAATAAAGCATAGTAGCTAAGTATCCGATAGGAAACTGTCAGTAGAGCATTAGTGGATGTATGTCAAATTACGGAAATGGCGTTTCTGAAAATCTGAGTCTAATTTTATTAGCCTGAGAACCAGCATTGAACACTGATTCTTTTTCACAAGTTTATTCTATATTTTATCACAACTCAAATTTTCCCCCTGAAGCCCCTCTCAAGTATCGAAAAAAAGTTTTGTCCGCTATTCTATTAGAAATCTTTATAGTTCGATAGAGCCTAGTGCGCTCATTAAAAATGTCACTTTATTTTTTAAAATTCATCGGATAATAACAAAAATTTGAAGCACTTTCTGGAAGCCCTCAAAATCAGTTTTTGATCGAAAGATTCATGGATATCCAATTTGGATTAGTCGAGAATTTTTTTATTCAATGCAAAATATTTTTCTCTATCAGAATCTATAGGAACTTCTTAGATAATTAAATCTTTTTTCTATTGATAAATGCCAAATACTATTCCGTTTAGCTCATATTATTACAAACAATGATTTTTTCACTCTTATGAAGTTATAGATTATGCTAGTGTATCAGCGAGATCTTTTAATTGAATACGTGGTTGAATGTACTCTTTCTAATGAAATTGTTTTCAGCGTAAAATTCGATGTATAGTAAAGCACTTTTGCTCTACTACTACTCCTTGCAGGGCTGGGCGAGCCATTTTGTCGAATCATTGAAAGAATCCTATAAAAATGATTACAGCTAAAGTGTTTCGACATATTTTTAATAACATTTAATCCAGGCTAGTCTCATCTACAAAATGATGTAAAGCAATAAATTATATAAGCTGCACAGGCACGACTATGTCGATCAATCATTGTGATTCGAACTTCAAATTAGAGTCGAGTCATTTTCTCGAGTCAATCATACTTTAAATAGTATGCTTTAGCTTATGAAGATAATATGATTTATTGCTATATAGTATTTTTTTAGTTCAGACTAATGTGGATTGAATACTACTAAGAGTAGTTTGAAACATGTCAGCCGGGTAAAGTATCATAAGCTGCTTTAAATAACTGCACAAAATGATTCGCCCGGCTCTGACTCATTGGGCCCCAATTTCTGTCATTTTTGACTAATGTTCGCCTGTTTCAGAACAGAATAATCCTTTTTTAACTTCAAACAAATGCCATATGTGGAACCAACACAGAAAACTTAGTCGATCTATACGTGTTTTAAATTGCTTCTGCGACTTTTTCGACTAATCCAAATCGGATATTCATGAATCTTTCGATCAAAAACTGATTTTGAGGGCTTCCAGAAAGTGCTTCAAATTTTTGTTATTATCCGATGAATTTTAAAAAATAAAGTGACGTTTTTAATTAGTGAACTAGGCTCTATCGAATTTTAAAGATTTCTAATAGAATAGAGGTCAAAACTTTTTTTCGATACCTGAGGGGACTTCAAGTGGAAAAAATTGAGTTGTGATAAAATATAAAATTAACTTGTAAAAAAGAACCAGTGTTCAATGCTGGTTCTCAGGCTAATAAAATTAGGCTCAGATTTTCAGGAATGCCATTTTCGCAATTTG